GGGAGAGGGCGGCGCTTGTAGTTGCTCGTGGCTGCATGCATGTTTTCGTGTGTGCGTGTGTGTGTGTGTGTGTGTGCAGGCGAGTATGTGGCGAGCGTTGAGGACTGCAAACGGTCCATTTCACTCGACCCGACCAACATCAAAGCGTGAGGGGACAGACCAGATGCAGTGCACACCTGCACTCCTGTCTGTCGACCGACCTGTGCATGTGATGTGATACTACACGCCACGCGTCCACCCACTGCACTGCAGTTACTGGCGTGGCGCTCGGAGCAGCCTGGGTCTGGATCTCTACAAGCAGGCGGTGGACTTCTGCGAGAGCGGCCTGCGGATGGACGCCGAGCACCAGGACCTCCTCAAACTGCACCAACACGCCAACGACAAGCTCATGCGCCTGAGGGAAAGCCGAATCAAGGTGTGACAGAGAGAGAGAAGGGCCATCACACACAAGTGACACAGCCCACGACGGTGCTTGCGTGTGTGTTGTGCAGGCTCAGGAGGCCGAGTCGGCCGGCGAGTCGAAGGACAAGGGCTCTTTCGAGATCACCTCAGAGGAGCTGGCCGATGTCGTCATACCCTCAAAGGAAGAGGTCAGTGGCTTCCAACCCCAACAACGCGCCCATGCAGCCGTACGTGTGTGTGTGTGTGTGTGTGTGTGTCCATTTGCAGCTGCAAGATCTCCACGTGCGTTTCGCCGAGCTGACGTCACAGCTTGAGGCCGCCGACCAGGCACTAAGGCAACACCAGCTGTGAGCACAATGCATTGCAATGACTTCAGTCCTCGTGGAATGGAATGCTTGTTGTTCTGTTGCGGTGTGTGTGCAGGTCTCTGCGCAAGGCCGAGGCGACGCTGCAGGAGCTGACATGGCAGCGCAGCCCCTCAGTGCCGGCAGAGCACGCGCCGACACGACCCGGCGAGAGGCCTGTCTACAAGCAGGTGTGGGCGGATGGATGGATGGATGGATGGATGGATGGAACACACACGTCGATGAGCTGACCCAACGAGTGGAAGTGTTTATGTGGATGTGTGTGTGTGTGTGTGTGTGCGTAGGTGGGTCACATCTTTCTTCGCAGTGACCCCGGTCGTGTGCATGAGGACCTCCAGGCCGCCAAGAAGAGACTCAACGAAGAGCTGCCGCGGCTGGAGGTAGGCAGAAAAGACAAAAGAGGGCCTGGATGGACGGATGGATGGATCTGGTGTGTTGCTGTGTGTGCAGACGAAGCAGTCGACGGTGAAGCAGCGGTATGACGAGCTGAACCGGCGGCTGAGGGGCATCAACCTCAAGAAGCGGCAGATGACACTCGGATGACTGACCTGGCCCTGGCCCGAGTGTCGAAGCAGAAGGAATCCTGGGGTCTGTTTATGGTCTGCATGTCTGAGATGGTCCTGTTGGCTTGGCTTCAGTGGTCGATGTGCGAATGTGCTGATGACGGTCAATAGACGACGCGGAGACATCTGCAGTCAGCAGTTGCTAGACTGCTGACTGTTGAGGTCACCGGGGGCGTCGTTGTCCGTCGTCAGCACATACGCACACAGAACGAGACAAGAAATGAGACACTCTCGATGGACGGAGAGAGACGGAGGGGAGGATGTGCAGACAGTGTTCTCGATGGCGAACCCAGGAGGTGCCTGAGATGGATGCGGCCGGCAGCTGCCGAGACTGCTGGTCGCTGCCATCTCAGGCGTCTTCATCGTCCGTCATCGACGCACACGCACGCGCGACAGAGAGAAAGATGTGACACACTCGATGAGACATTGTGGCTTGGTTTATCGCATAGTTTATCCAGCTAGTTGCCCGTCCATCCATCCATCCGTCCATCCATGAGCCACGGCCGGCCCCTCACACACCCACACAGAAAGAGAAGAAAGTATAACACGAAACGAAGGTTCGCAATATCTGCCACGAAGGTTCGTGGTCTGCACATTGTGCAGATAGGACAGACATACGATGGATGCTGCAGATATTGCACTGATGGGCAACATGTGCTCTTACCAACACAGACGAGAGAACATGTGTCCTACTGTCCCCAACGGTTTCGGCCGTTATGGGTAGATGCGAGCTGAGATAGCCTTGGATGTTGGAAGGCCACACGGAGTGGAGGCATGTATAGATAAGGTGGGTTGCACAACAGGCGAATCCTTCCTTCCAGCTGCCTGTGTCGTCGACAGATCTGACTACATATGTAATTACGATTCAAAGATCCAGGTATTCCTCGCACATGCCATCCTCTCTCCCGACGTCTGCTCGGTGCGATCGCCCGAGTAGTAGCGGCTACAGACACACACGCGGATGGAGACAGTGTGCGTGTCCACGGGATCGCACGTGAAGATTGGCTCTGTCCCACCAGTTGCAGGGAAGGGGCAGTACTACTCCTCTTTTGTTTTTGTTGACCTGGCTTCGCCGGGGGCCAAAAGGTGGATACGTCTTGAGGATGCAATGCTCGTACCCGCTCACCTTGGGACACAGTGCAATATCTGCAGCATCCATCGTATGTCTGCACGCGAATTGTCGTGTGAACAATCATGATGTCGATTCCCTCCCCCTCCCCCCCATGGTGCATATTTGATACACACAGGCCACAATACATCCACACATGCACGAATCACAAATCGCCAGCTCCCTCCCTCTATGCACATCGGCACGAGGAGGATCTTCAGTCAGCAGCTGATGGATGAATGGATGCCGTGATGTCGTCTCCTCCCCCCCTCGTTGTCCGCTTCTCGATCATCATCAGTGGCTGTCTGAGTGTGTGTGCCTGGCCCAGTTGAACGGACTACACATCACATACAGGCAGGGACATAAGCGAATCAATCAATGCACTCACTTATCGTCCCAGGTCAAGCATGCATTTCAAGTGAGTGCACATGTGTGCACCTTGACATGGGTGCACTTGACATGTGTGTGCAGAAGAAGAAATTTGTGTGTGCAGAAAGGATTCTAACTCAGGCGGTGCAGAAGAAATGGTGCAGGCTCGGCCAACTTGACATGTGCGTTCATGCTTTCGACAGAAATGCTTGTTTCTCCCATGAGACGATTCAGAAAAATCCAATCCTTCACACACACGGATACATGCATGCGCTCCTGTCTGTTGACGCGCTCGCTACCGGCCGACGGAGTGTCTCGTCGCGTCGCCGCTCGTTTGGCGTGGCGCGTTGGACGTTACTTATGCGAAGGGGGCGAAGGCCACGTTAGCGCAGCCCACCCGCTTGCCGCGAGACAGCATACTCTTGGCACACTGCTCGATTGTCCACCGCTTGTGCGTGAGGTCCACCACACGGGCAGGGGGCGCGATGTCCTCCAGCCGCCTGCACACACACACACACACACATAGATGGTCCATGATGTTGCGTCTCTGTGTCTGTGTCTGTGTCTGTCTTACTTAGCGGCGATGTCGCCGATATAGATGACCGCCATGACGGTCTTATCTCCGCTGACGAATACCTCTACCAGCGGCATGGCGACAGTGTGTGTGGACGCGCCGCCCTTGATGGACTGCACATGATAGGCCAATTTGACCTGCAGGCACCAAGGGCACACAGAGGAACAATCCATCCATCCATCCATCCACACACACGAATGACGTCTGACGTACGGCATCCCTGATGGCCACATTTCGGGGGCATTTGAACACGAAGCTGTCACTCAGCGGCGCCACCGCCTCCAACACATCATAGGCACTCTGCAGTGAAGCCACAGACACCAACACGCCATAAAGGAAATGAGAAATGCATGTTTGTCATCCATTAGATTAGTGCAGTGCGGACCAGTGTGCCGTCGCCCATGCGGTGGAGTGGGTATATCTCCTCTTCATAGGCCTTCCCCCAGGGCATGTCGACGTGAATGGCGCCGAATTTCCTGCCGATGGGAATCCACTTGGCGGCGAGGCCGGCGATGCGGGCGAAGTAATCGCCGCACACCATCCGGAGCCTCTCAGCCACACCTGCATTCAGAGCGACAGCAACTCAATGAGTGCATTCTGATCAAGAGGAGCCGCCGCTTCTCCCGCTTACCGTGGACGCGGGCGTTGTGCATGGTGTGGTCGACATTGGTTTGGTTGATGTCGCATGCAAACACCGTCAGCCCTGCCACGGCGAGGGAGACACTCTGGCCTCCCACGCCGCTGAAGGCGTCCAGAACGATGCTGCCCGCGGCATACATCGTGATGGCCGCCGTGATGGTGTCGGCGATGGACCTCGGGGTGATGGACTTACTGAAAGGCAACGGAGAGGGCCACACGAAGGAATGCCATGCAATTTGTAAGTGTTGCAGCCGTCCTGCTTTAGGTACTTACCGCATGTGTGCCGCATACTTGACGCTTTTCCAGAGACCGCCCCACAGCCACTGGCTGGCGGTCTGCAATGGCAAAAGCATCCAATACAGAAGAAGAGCCCATGCATGCAGCTTACCGCGGCGCGTGGGCACTCAGTGACTATGATGGTCACCAGGCCCATCAGCAGGGCAGCGTCCAGGCCGAAGATCTCCTCCGGCATGGCCGGCATGACGGCGGGGGGAGAGAGGAAGAGAAAAGAGCAGAGAAGAGGCGAAGAAGGGCAGACGAGAGCAGAGGGCGGTGGGGGACAACCACGCTCCTCAGTGCGGGGGGTCGATGGGCTCGTTTGAAGAGAAAATGGTACACAAAGGGCTGATATCCAAGTGCAACTGTTACGGCGTTTTCGAGACAGATGGGGGCCAGTGTCCCGGGGTCTCGAAACGCCGTCTTTTGCTTGAGAGATGTCAGCAGATTGAGAGATTTAACGGCCACTGACCATCACCATTGACATCAAAGATCCACTGTCACTTACACTCTCGGCGTGTTCTATGCACATGCACACAAAAGGCTTTCCTGACGGCATGTCGTCAGACACACACACAGACACCGAGTACACAACAAAACGCATGCCTTCACTCTCTCTCGCCTCCCACCCGCAGACACACATCCCACCGAACAAAACAAGCCTGCCTGCCTGCCAATGAAAGCGCCACCCACCCCATCTATGCAGTGCCACGCATGCACTTAAACGACCCTCCTTGTTTCGCGCCCGCAGAGCGCTCAGCCATATCCATCCGCTCAGTGGGTACTCGGCTCATCCAGAGCTCACATGCGCACACACGTCAGACCCACACACATATATATGCAACGTATGTATCTACACACACCAGGAAGGAACCCTTCGGGCAAACGAACCCAATCAGTCCCTCTACCTACCGAAAGATCGCCCGACACCACCCTGTCTGGTCTATCGGTCTTTCGCTACTTACACGACCGCCAATGCGCCCAGCACGTGGGTGTCATCGAAGATGTTGTGGCGGAGGGTCACGCCGATGTCGTATCGCGACGCCTCCAGCCGCACTGCCCGTGCGATGATCTCGCACACACCAATGCGCTGCCGCGGCTGGGCGGCGCCGCCTATGGCGAAGCATCGCAGCGCAGCGACGCCGTCACCCCCCACCACACGAACGTTGCCGTGCCTCTGCGGCCGCTCCTGGCTGCCCTCCTGCTGCTGCGGCACCGGCTGGCAGATCACACGCGCTGCGGCCGTGACGTACTGGCGCACGGCTTGGTTGATTTGTGTGCCGATGGGCTCATCGCCGATGGTGATGGGAGGGGGCGGGCTGTCGGTCTGGTCGGTGGGGGCGAGATAGCCGTTGATGGTCGTCAGGACGCCAGACGGCAGGGCGATGGTGCGGCTGCGGAGGGGGATGGGCTGGCTGAGGGACGCCATGAGGCTGCGTGATGGGCGGAGGGCCTCGTTGATGGTCTGCAGGGCTCCGCGGGGGATGGACTCGTTGAGGAAGGACGAGTATGCCGTGAGCAGCCTGGCTCGTCTACCCTGCTGTGTGATCCCGCCACCCTGCTGTGTGATCCCGCCACCCTGCTGTGTGAGCCCGGCAGTCGCCACAGACGCGCCGTGTTCGAGCAGACTGACGAGGGCTTCGCTAGGGCAGTCTCGGTTCGATGCCGCATTCCTGAGGACCGTGTTGCCCTGCCTGTCGGGCGTGTTGATGTGCCGCGCCGCCCCATACCGATAGAGACGCTCAATGGTCGCATCCGCTGAGCTCCGGTATGTGCCGTACGTCAGATGAGCTAGGGAGAGGGGCCGCTTGCCGTCCCTGGTCCCGATGTTGCCTGGGCCAAGTGGGGGAGGGTGCTGGACGGGCGTGTTGACGACATCGGTCCCCAGCTTCTCGGCCAAGTAGTCGATGAGCTGCTCCTGCAGCTTCTCCTCGCTCAGTGGCCTTGAACTGAAGTGATGGATGGGCCGCCACCCGTCGTCGCCCTTCTCCGACAGCACTGTCACGTCCCGCTCGCCGAGCATCTTGACCACACGCAGCTTGTCGGCAGAGCCCGACTCGCTGCGACACACCGCCGCCAGCAAACACTGTCCGGCAACTGAGATGCCGTACTGCGGCTCCAGCATGACGTCCAGCACACCCCACTTGCCGGCCAGCGCGGCCGTGTGAAGTGCGCTGTCGTGGTCGCTGCGTCTGTTTGGTGGGAGGATCGGGGCGCCAGCGTCCAGCAGCACGCGCATCACGCCGACGGCCTCGGGCTCGTCCAGGTGCTCTGCGGCAAGCTGGGGCAGGCTCATGTCGTCGAGGGGGCCGCACCGGTCGGTCTTGACGATCTGGTCGGCCTCGGCGCCTCGGTGGAGGAGGTCTCGGGCTGACCCCTCACTGATGGCATTGCAGGCGATGTGGACAACCAGCTGCCTCGTCAGCTGGCTCGCGCCGCGGAAATCGATGACGTTAGGGGTGCCATCCGACCAAGCACTGGAGGGTCGCCAGATCTTCACTCGGTCCGGGAAGGTGGGGGGCTGGTCGGGCGGCACAGTGGCGTAGAGCGCTGGAGGAGGGGATGACCCAAAGACGAACGACTCGGACGGCCCCTGATTGATCGACACACACGCGCACCACAGTTGTTGTGTCTTCTCTGCCTCATTGGTGTGTGGTTGCCTCATCACTCACCGGTGTGGAGCCCTCAGCTGGCCTCAGCGACACCCCATCCGTCTCGTCCTCCCACATCCCATATGTGTCCTTGAAGAAGACCAGATGAGGCGTGTCGTCCGCCATCAGCCGCCGCCCTCCTCCCTCTTCAGCCGCCGGCTCTTCTTCTTCATCCTCTATCTCTATCACTTCCTCTTCCTCTCCCTCTCCCTCCACTTGCCACTCCCATCCCTCGCTCTCTTCGCCCCATTCCTCCTCGCCGTCACCCATTTCTTCATCTTCGCGGCGCTTGAGCTGTCCGTCGGCTCCGATGATGCCGTAGCTGTAGTTGCACCTCACTACGAAGTCGCTGCGGCTGTACCCCCCTTCACGAAGCTTCCTACTTGCTGAAGGGAGTACCACAGACAGAGACCACCTCGGGCAAGTCGGCGACGGGGGACTCATGGCGATGGGTTCTCGAGTGCCAAGCACAAGGGCAACTGCACGCACAGATGGAACACAAGCAAGCCGGCCGGGGCAGCTGCAAGTGGGCGGTGGGTACTCCTTTCTCTTTCCATCCGCTCACCTGATTCGCCCTCAGCAATGTCAGACACCTCTACACTAAACAGCGCCAACACACGGGGTCCATTCAGAGGGGTCTTACTGACATCTACACACACATCCACACACACACCAGATTCAGAGTGATTGATTCGAGGAACGCATGAGGGCGGGGGAAGATCCACGTACCTCGCCTCCTGGGTGCCAGCCCGTGCGTGCTCATTTGGGGCCCTCTTTTCGGGCGAGAGGGGAAAGCCATGATGTCCGACCAGCCTCACGTCAATGCGAGCTTGGAAACTGAGGGAGGATCTTTCCCTTCTCTCACGTCCCTTGGGCAGCCTGCAGCATCCTCACAGGCACCTTCACAACTTCAATCTCTTCAGCAATGGCGTTTCCATTCATCGCCGGCGTCGATAGCAGCTGACGAGGTGCGATGACTGAGCCGCCGAAAAAAGGTCAGCTGAATGAAGGACAGACACAGATCATCCCTCCGTCAGGTCACTCTCTGTGTGTTGTGTGTATGGCATTGTTTCGTTCATTCAGGTGCTCTCATCAGCGAATCATGGCTGAGCCTCGTTTTGGCAGTGTGTCCGATGGCGACGTGGATAGGATCTTCTGCCGCTTTGACCACGGCTCCAAGGGCGTGCTGACGCGCGCAGAGCTCAAGAGCGCCCTGCTGGCGGTGTTCGGCTTCCCATTCGTCAAGAGTGACATTCAGGTGGGTCGGCAGAAAGGGATCGATGGACACAAACAAACAAGGCACAAGGGTATGGCTGCTGGTGTGGTGTGGTGTGGTGCTGTGCATCAGCACTTGTGGGAGGAGGGGCTCAGTCACCAGCGGCCGCCCTTCACGCCGCCAGGCCTCTCAAAAGAGGTCTTCAGAGCCATCGTAAGCAACGGTTCTCTCTCACCGACGGATCAGGGAGTGTGTTGCCCGTGGGTGCAGGTGAGGCGTCGGGAGCGGCTGATCTCATCGTTTGACCGGTCCTTCCGGGCCTTCTCTGCTCTTGACCGGCACTCCCGCGGCTTCCTGCTGCTGGACGACATCGAGTGTGCGATGGGCGAGGTGTGCCCGGCCGTCAAGATCAGCGCGGCGGAGGTGTTTGCCGCCATGGACAGGGGGAGGGCGGGGAGGGTGACCTTCACTGACTTCCGACTGTTCATCGGGGAGGGAGCCCTGTGATAGGGAGACAGACTAGTGGGATACGGTGCGGAGAGCCGGGGGGGGTGGGGGCGGGCAGACAGACAGACAGAAATGGCGGGCGATAAGTGGCCCGCTGTGTGTGTTGGGAAGGGAGGGAGGGGCGGGATGATGAGGATGAGGTGCGTGGGACGCCATTAAGCCAACGAGGAGAAAGAGTAGAACGAGATTACGCATCACACGGGGGCGAATGTGTTGTTTGTGTTTTGTCTTTTCAAGTAAAGTCTCCCGACGAGAATTCTCGCCAAGTGCGCAAAGTGCTTTGTGTTGGTGGTGTCGAACATAGTGGACGATGGGTGGTGGCGTCAAAGCACCACGCGTGTGTTGGCATGATTTTCTGCCGGTGTAGCTGGTCAAGAATATGTGGATGAAGCTGAATGTCACTCACTTGTGAGGTTTGCACACGGACGTCTCTCCCTCTCCCATCGGCAGATGCATGTGTGCACACCGACCCATAGACAGGCTGACTCCCTTTCTCTCTCTCTCTCTCTCTCTCTCTCTTCTTATCCACGCCCGAACACTTGTGCATTCGCAGCCAGTCAGTCACTTCTGCTCCAAAAAGACGGACAGAGCTATATATATACCCTGCCCCATCAACCAACCCGTGTGTGTCACTCACTGCCTACTGTACAAGACAATAAACAATCACCCTGTGAGGCTCTGCATCGCTCCCTTCCCTAACCCACCCCACCCCACCCATCCAATCAAGCAATTGCAACCCGCCTTCTCGGCCGCCTGCGGGCCTTCCCCTCCTGGTCGCTCTCATCCCTGTCGCGCGGCCTGGTGGGCTCGCCCCTGTCGTCATCTTGGTAAGGGTCGTCCTCGGAGTTCCTGAGGGTGAGGTACAGGGTGAGACTCTGGAAGTAGGTGTCGAAGTCGCCGGGGAGGGGGGAGTGGGCTGAGGGGGGTGGCAGGGACATCAGAGCGTCTTGCCGAGAAGGGTCTGGGCGGTTGACCTGAACACACACACACACACACGCACACATCAAAGCCGACTCCTGTGGTAGTGGCTCGGCCGGTCGGCTCACCTTGATTTTGAGTGTCTGCCCCGGTTGGCATTCGTGAAGGACACGTGCCAGGTCCGTCTCTGTGTCGATCTGGTGGTCATCAATCGCCACCAACACATCGCCAAGCTGACGCTCCGCGCGAACCGTGCCTGCATGAAACCACATTCGGACATTCACAAGAACATGGTGGACGCTCGTCTGCGCGTGTGGGTGTGGCTCTTCTGACCTTGCAGGCCGGCGTGTTGTGCGGGCGAGTCCGGTGGCACGTAGTGCACCAGGAGGCCCTTGGAGATGCCGTACTCCTTTGCACGATCAGGGTAGAAGAACATCACGCCCAGGCGCGCTCGCACCACCTTGCCTGGAGAGAGAGAGAGAGAGAGAGAGAGAAGGCGTCGCGTCTGTCTGGTATTCCCATGAGTCCATTCACGGCACTGACCTTCCTTGATGAGCTGTGGCACCACTTCTCTGAGAGTGTCTGTGGGCACGGCCAGCCCGATGCCGCTCGACTGAAGGATCTTGATCGGCGTGCGATGAGGTGCTGTCTGGATGGCCGCGCCCCGCAGAGCCGTGTTCATGCTGGAACAATGCACACGCAACAAAGTGCCAAAATGCCAGCCGACCGTCAGTGCGTTTGTGGCTTATGCGTTTCTCACCCAATGACACGGCCTTGCAGGTCAAAGAGTGGGCCGCCACTATTGCCTGGATTGATCGCCGCGTCGGTCTGCAGCGAAGGAAGCCGAAGCCAAGGAGACCCGTAAGCTCAAAGAGGAGACCTTACTTGTATGACGTTGTTGATCAACCTCCCCGACGGCGCCCTCATCTCCCTCCCCAGCCCGCTGACCACACCCATGGTGAGTGTCTGCTGGAAGGTCGACTCGAACGGCGTCCCGATGGCCGCAACCGTCTGCCCAATCGCCACTGAGTCGAGAGCGCCGAGATCGACCTTCCGCAGCCAATCAGGAGGAGGATGACCGTCGCTCTCTGACTGCAACAAGGGAGACCAAAACGAATGAGCAAAGTGTCCAATGCCATCGTATTCTCTCTCTGTGTACCTCTTCATCGGCCGCTTTGGTTCCATTCGGTCTGCCCCACTCCACCTCGAGCACGGCCACGTCGGTGTCAGGGTCGCGGCCCATGACGCTGGCGGGGTAGGTCACCTGCCGCCCTGCCGTGTCTGTGAAGGTCAGCTGCGCGTTTTTGGCGTGCTGCACCACGTGGTAGTTGGTCACGATGTGGCCCTGCTCGTCCCAAACAAAACCCGAGCCATGACCTGACGACACACACAGAGATGGTGTGTCTGAGGCCATCCCATTCATCCCATCATGTTCACCGAGCTCTTTGTCTTCCTTGGTCATGGTGAATCTGTCGACATTTTCCTTGAAGGTGTCGATGAGCACGACGCTTGGCGCCACCCTCCTGTACAGATCCACCCATCCCTCCCTCTCCCTCTCACGCCCCCTGTCGCCAACCAACTCAACCACCGACGCAGAACTGTCCAGCGACATCGGCTCGCCTTCAAGAGCCGCTCTCCGCCGGCCGAACAGCCGCCTCCACCTGCTGCGAGGGCTCGCTCGGGTACGCACGCGCAGGGCGGCGGCATCATCAGCGACATAGCTGTCTGACGGCGATGAGTGAGGAGATGCGCGCCAGCCGGAGAGGGCGGACAGCTGATGGATGAGGTTGATGGCCGCAAGAACGAGCCAGATGCACTTCATTCTCAGAAATGCAACTGTAACTTGCCACTTGCAGGGACGGAGGGAGGGGCGGGAGAGGCTGAGGTGGGCAAGAGGAGGGAAACCGGAAACAACACGACAGATGACGCCCGATGAGCTGCAAACAAGGGAGGACAACACGGCGGCTTGGAAGTCTGCAGGGTAAGACGGGTTTCAGGGTATGAGGGGTTGAAGGGTTTCGGACCCTGCACAAGCATTCATCACGGCAATCTGGTTCACTTCACAGTCTCATTGGCCCCGCTCCTCAAGTGGTTTGTCCATCGCGATCTGTTCAGCAGCGACGAGCAGGCCACCCATGAGGCGGGAGCAATGAGACATGCGAGGACCATGAGCCAGACAGACAGACAGGCAGACTTGTCTTACACTTGATCATAGACGATGGATCATGGAATGGCCGGCATCGTCTTTCTTCGTGTGTCACCATGATCACGACGGTTTGCTCTTCACGCCAGCCGTGATCAGTACACCGTCGTCAGCGTGATGACACACGTAGAAAGACGACAAGCCAGAGAGAAAGAGATCAACCACCAGTTAGTTGCAAAGATGCTCCAAAGGACGAAGCACATGGAAAAACATCTGCAGGCACCTCTCTGCTATTGACAGATCATACACTAGTAGCTAGACTATAAACAGGTCTGTCTCCCTATCTGGGCTATGTGCCTTTGCCGCCACCGGCCACAGGAGCAGCAGCTGTCGCGTGTGTGGCTTGTGGGTGTGTCCTCTCGGTGAGGTCCTTCCTGATGACGTGTTTGAGGGGGCTCCAGTCGAACTTCTCCATCGTTATCGGCAGCGTGCGGCGCAAACTCTTGAAGGCACGGTCGGCTGACACACCACATATAAGCACACATAAGCACACAGACAGGCGCATGCAGTCGTCAAGAGAGGGGAGTCGACTCGTTGTTCGCTGTGCGTGTTTACCGCATGCGGCGTATTTGTCTTCCATGGACTGGTGGAAGGCGCCCTCGAGGGTGGAGATGGCCTTGGCCACCGCTGATGACAACGACTCCGCCGACTGCAGACAGACAGACACACAAACAGACATTCATCTGCAGTCGATGTGTGTGGAGGGGGGCAGGGGAGGGGGGAGGGGGTGTGGTGACCTTGAGGTCTGGTGGTTGTATGTCTGCCTGCATGTCGTTGTCTGCGTGCATCTGCACGTTGCCCTCCTCGAAGAAATGCGTCAACACTGACGCACTGCCCTGAGAGGAACGTACACACACACACACACACAGGGAGAGAGACAGCCGAATGGCATGTGCGACTGTGAGCATCGAGCTCCCGCACCTTGAGCTTCGCAGATGTGGTTTGGTTGGGTGTGAACGTGATACTCCACTGAGACGCCCAGCCACCAGCCCTACTCACACAAGAGGATACAAGCGACACACATGAGCCACACGAAATAAGAAAACCCTCCGGCTCTCCCGTCGTCGCGTACCAGTAGTTCTTGAGGTTTTGGTTCTTGGCTGATATGACGACATGCAGCGTGACGGCATCCTTGCCCTCGTCCACGCCGTAGACGGCATGCGCCACGCCGGACGTGCCGCCGGATGCAGTGGGCAAGGGCTGCTCATCGGGGTAGTAGTGGGTGGCGATGTAGCCGTCCATCGCTGTGTCCAGGGCAGCGCTGCACCCACCGCGCACCAAGAGCATGTGTTGTGTGTCTGGCGGTTTATGTGTGTGGTGTGCACCGGTATGGCTCGGCCCTCGTTGGCAGCTGGCTTGGCTCTGCAGCGGTCACGCTGCCCGCCACCGTCTGAAGAGACGAATGGTACATGGCAAGGATGCCCATGCTCTCTATGGGCGTTTCTTTCGGCCTTACCTGTGTGATGTGTGCCACCTCGAAGACATGCTTGGTTCGCGGCTCCAGATACAGACGATCAGCCAGCCTCCCCTGCCGACACACAATGCCCTGCACCACACCACACCACACCACATGAGCCATTCCATACTCAGATTTATTGTATTGCATTCCCCGCGGTGTGCGGGTCACCTCACCTTGGGCAAGTTGGATTGGGGAAGTCGGACGGCGAGCAGCTTCTGCTCGTTGTGCTCTGCGAGGATCTCCGACAACGCACTCTCACTCAGCACCTCGGGGTCATTCTGAAGCAGCTTTCGGCAGTCTGTTCGAACCAACACATGCACATGCCACACACTCTTCGATGACTGAATTCTGCACGTCGCGGCTCAGACAGGCTAGGCGGCAGATCTCTCTGATTGAGTGCACAGACGTACCTGTGAGGACTTCTTGCGTCTGCCCCGGCGGGCTGTTGAGCATGATGTAGCGGACGATGCGCCGCTTCTCCTCCACACTGATCGAGGATGAGCCGCCGCCCGACATGACTCCAAGTGACGCCCTTTTCGTCTTCTCTCTTTCGCTTCAGTGCGCGAGCTTAGATTGCGAGCTTGAATGGCAACACAGCTCGTTAGAAACCCATTTGGAGCCCTCGAGGATGCAGCAAGCGGCGATCGACCCATTAAGGGCCCTGATTGAGACACTTCCGCACAGAGCGCTGCTCTGCTGGACAGGGGGCTGCATGCTCTGCTGGTGAGTGAGTGATGTCAAGTCGAGGTCAGCGGTCCCGATCAGGCATGACAGCACGGGCCGTCTCATTCAACAACTATGACCAAGGTAGGTACGCAGGCGGACAACACACAGACACGCCGGCAGCGGCGCTGGACAATCAGACGATTGCATGCCATTGCAACTGTGCCGTCAGTTCCTTCCCGCATCGACTCTCGTCGGTCCCCCTACCCCCCTCGCCGTCTGCGCATCGGACCTCCAGCACCGCCATCGGCCGCCGCCAGCACCAGCACCCAGCCGCCGCCGTACAACACACGGCACGGCCGAGGCGGCATTGGCGTGCTGGCGGCGGAAGATAGGAGGGGAAGCCTAGCGCTGCAACTCTCGCCCGTGCTGACCGAAAAGGGTGAGATAGATGGATTGGTGGATGGGTGGGAGCCACGCGCATGACGCCTTATATTGCTGTGTGTCGTTTGTATGGCTCTCTGCTGGCCTTGTGTTGTCAGTGACTGGCTCCCGTTCTCGCCTGGCCCTTGCGCCCTCCCCCCGCCCCTGCAACCCTCCCCCCAGCACTCGGAAGCGGCCCCCACGGCCGATGCCATCGAAAGGGCCCGATGCCATCGCACCTTCCTCCACACACACGGACCTGTCTGCCTATGACGAGAGGGAAAGGCTGGGCCCCCACCCGTCGGCGTCTTTTCATCCGCCGCTGAAGGCGTGTTTTGCGGCGCAGCTATCGCAGGTAGTTGAGAGAGGAGAATGGACGGATGGAGAATGGACTGACTGACAAAGCGGCGAGGTTTTGTTTTGTTGTGTCCATCTGGATTGGTCAGGTGGCTAGAAGGACGCTTGGGGGCAACTCATCGTCTGCTGCTGCTGGGGGTGTTGGCTGTCAGGATGAGCGTGAGAGTGGCGTGTCGGGTCAGTATAGGCGGCGGAGGGTCGAGGGCAAGGCGGTGTCGCAGCTGAGGGACTACGCATCTCCTGACGCATGTAGGCGCGCACCCTCCGATGCGACCATCTTCTCCCCTTTGTCCCTTCTCGCTCCTTCAGGGGGCCCGCTGCATTCCGAGCTGCCCACGCCAAACCACGAGCCGAACCCGTCCCGCCCTTTATCCTTCGACAGCCCCCTCACCTCCCCCCTCACCGTAGCAGACACAGCCACCACCGCCCCCCTGGGCCACGCCATCAGCCGCATGTCGACGGTCACCACCGACGACAGACCAGTGCCTGTCAAGGGGCTGCTGTACGCGTCGGTGGATCTGTCGGTCGACCATGTGTCAGTGCACGACGGCAGGGCACCGTTCGAGAGCGCCTTGAGATGTGGTGGCGGCAGGAGGGGAGGGGGAGGGGGTGGGCCCAGGAAGGTGCCCCCTCCCGGCGCGAGTCGCGTCGAGGAGGGGGCTGGCGAGGCGGAGGAGATGAGGCGCGTCAGGAGCAAAAAGACTGCCACCGCCACCGCCACCGCCACGACACACACACACAACAACAAGACCGACACGTCGATGACCAAAGGTACGAGTGCACGGCAAGACGTCAACAACGAAACGATGGATTGTCGTCGCACATGGCATGGGTGGTGTCTGTCTGCAGCTGCCCCGTCGACCGTGGCGCGGACGCCTGCCCGTCGGCGGCCGGCTGTGTGCGCCACGCCGTCGACGAGCCGCAGCGCGCACACCTTTCGGGGCACTCTGGGGGGGCGGATGTCCACTGAGGAAATGATCATGAACATGCCTAGTGTAGACGGGCTCACACACGAAGGTCGAAATGACACACCAACACACTGAGGGAGGGAGGGAGGGAGGGAGAGTGTGACGCTCTGAGTGTGCTGTGTGTGTGTGTGTGTGTGCGTGCGTGTGTGTGCAGATGTTGCTGTGTATGGGAATCGTTGGCTGGACGGCTACAGTCGCGTGAAGATGCTGGGCAGGGGCGGGTGTGCCGTTGTGTGGCTGGCCGAGAGACGGCCCACGGGCGACAAAGTGGCCATCAAACAGGTGGAGGAGCGCACAAAGACCACCACCACGACACACACAGACAGACACATGGATGTGAGTGTGTGTCTGTGTGTGCAGGTGGCCAAGTGCTGCGGCGCCAAGGGGCGGGCTGACATAGAGTCGGCGTGGCGAGAGATCAACGTTGCTGGTGGGCACAGCACACACGCGCACACACACATTCAACACCACTTTTACCACCACTCCCTGTCTGTCTGTGTGTCTGTGTGCAATGGGTGCAGCCATGTACTTTGATCTGAGTGGCCGCGGGGGCTTCAAGATTGACCCCCTCCAGTACCCTGGTACCCAACCACACACACACACGTGTTCTTGTGCTCCAGCTGTGACTGTGGTGTGAGGTGCGATGCCTGTGCAGGTGTGGTGCACATAGCCCGTCTGTTGGAGTACCATGACCTGAAGAGAGACCTGTGGCTCGTCTTCGACTTCGCCGGTGCTCTAGAGGGCGAGAGTGGCACTCACACACACAGCAGAATGCGGCTCATGAACGTATGTGTGTGTGTGCACAGGTGCGTCGATGAGCAAGGTGTCGTTCAAGATTCAGGGGACCTTCTTCCACGGGGAGAGGATCTACAACGTCATACACATGCCATTCTACAAGGTCACACACACACACACACACAGAGAGAGAGAGAGAGAGAGAAAGAGAGAGAGGGAGAGAGAGAGAGTGCGAGCAGCGTGACACCGATACCCTACTCAGTGTGTGTGTGCGTGTGTGTCTGTGTGCACTGCAGTCTCTCCAGCGCGACATACGAGTGCTCAAGAGGCTCCTGAGGGACATCTTCCGTAAGCAACCCACTCACACGCAAGGCACACGCCCTCACCTCACACGCCTTCACCCATTCACAGTGGTGTGGTGTCTCTTCAGAGGCGCTGGAGCTCTTCTGGCGTTCCGGTCTGGTGCACGGCGACCTCAAGCCGGACAATATCCTGCTCATCACACCCGATGTACTCAATCAGAATGCACACCCACACAATCAGAATGCACAAACCCAGCAAGTTCGTGCATGCTTCTGCTGTGTGGTGTGCAGGGTGACAGCCAGAGGGACTTTGTGTACCAGGGCGTCAGAATCATCGACTTTGGCTCAGGTGAGGTGCCTGCCTGCTGTGCGTCGGTCGGCACACGCAACACACCAATGAATGGGCTATGGTGGGTCGGTGGGCTGGTTGGTTGGTTCTCTGTGTGTGGGCAGCGTATCGGTACCACGAGAGCCACCAGGTGGGCATGGCCACGCCAGAGTACATGCCGCCGGAAGCCCTACAGGCAATGGGCAAACGACACAGCGGCAAATCTAGGGTGCGGTGCTGGATGCACAGGAAGGCACACACGGAGAGAGAATACTGCCTGCCGTGGTGCCTTGCTTTTGATGTCTGTCTGTCATGGTGCCTGCCTGGCCAGGATGAGCTGCAGCATCGGTTGTCAGGTTTGGTGGACCAGTCGACGCCCTGGAGCTTCGACACGTGGGCGGTGGGGGCCATCACGCTCGAGCTGTGTGTGGGGGTGCCCCTGTGGCTCTCGTACAAAGCCAGAGTGGTGGGCTGGGACCACCCTCTCTCCATGACAGACACTGACATTTGGTGTCTGTCTGTCGTGTGTGTGCAGGAGTATGGCCAGGGCGGCCGTCGGCCCTTCATGGGCATGGGCCACTTCGCCGTCACCGGCAAGTAAGGAAGCTAAGCAGGCCATCCAACGAACGGACGGGGGGACTGGACGACTCTCATGTCATGGCGATTGCTCTCATGGTTGTCTGTCTGTCAGGGACAACGACAAGATGGTCCAGAAGCAGCGGGACGTCGTCGCACACCTCAGGAAAAGCATTTCGGTACGTCGGTGCGATTGTCTGAGTGGATGGATCATATCAAGGCCAACAACGACGAGAATTACACCATGGTTCGTTGGGTGTGTCTGTCGCCTCACTCACAGGAGTCGCCCGGCATTCCGCTGCACAAAGACACCGACGGGATGGACCTCCTCACGGTGAGCAAATGGGACGGCTGGATGCCAACACGATCCCTGATCGCCCTGTGGTGTGAGAGCTGGTGCAGCGGATGTTGGCGTGGCAGCCCGACGAGCGCATTTCGCCCACCGATGCCCTCAGCCACCCCTTCCTCGCTGCTGTGTGACTTACTCCCCGTTGGTCGGTCTCTATCGCACTCACTGTGGCTGTCTGTCTGTGTGAATACCGCTGGCTGGCGAGACGCCTCCCTGTCGATGGACCGGATCGACGTGTGCATGACGAGGGATGATGGTGTGTGTGGATGTGTCTGTGCGGGCCGGGCCGTTGACGCGTGTGAAAATGGTTGTGTGATGGGGTTTCCGTGGTACACAAGCGGACCGACGTGGTCATTCTTCATCTACTTACACACGGCACTATGGCTGGCTGAGTCAGGCAGGCAGATCTATAGAACGAACGCGCATGCAGGACAGAGCAAGCAAGCACCGAAGCTCTCACTTGACAAATGACCGACCAGCACAGCACAGGGTGCACCGACAAATGATCATACGCACATCGATAAATGACCGGCTAATAATTAATATGCCCCAGCAGCCCAGCTCACCACAAGGCCACTCAGTCTGCAGGATAAAACACTCATCCTCCGAGCTTCAGTCCCCCCTTGCACAGGCACACGCCCATCCGAAGAGCGGTCGGCCTCACTCTGGCTTTTGTTTGTCCCCCAGCCTCAGGAGGAAGAAGAGATAATTGACAGATGGCATCCATGCACTCGCTTGTCCAAATCGCCTCCATGAATCTTCCACATATGCCTATGCACAAAGGGCACGCTCACTCATCCGATGAGAACACCCCAGCCCCGTCCATCGCCCCAACACCACGCCATGACTGCCTCCCGCCCCTCAAACACAGGCTAGCAGCCCGCACCAATGCAACAGACAAACGAGCACGCAGCCACCCAT